GAGGTTGTGTTGATCTGGAAGGGGAAGGTCTGTTAATGTGTGGCCGGACCTAGTATGGGTTGGGGAAATTGGGTCCACTGTGTTTCTTTTCTCTCCTGGTTCCACCATCTTTTCTCTCTACCACCTTTGGCAGAAGGTGGGTGGGGGGCAGTAGAGAGAGGAAGAATGGGATGGAATTCTACAGGTGGGAATGCTGGGGATAGGGAGGAGGGACTGTGGAAGAGAGGAAAGGGAAGGGTCTTCTGCCAGGTCAAAAGAAGGCAGTGGAGATTGGGATGGGTCAGGGACCCACACAAGGAATATCTGAGAGGGTTCACAAGACAAACACAGAGAAGGAATGTTTCGGAAGAGGAGGAAGGCCTGGATGTAGGGGATCTATGGCCATTTGTTAATTTCCAACAGTAATTACTGAGAAGAGTGAGGATTGAGAGGTCAAAGGTGCCATTTTCTGGCACCTGTGAGCCATTCATTATCTAGCTTGTACATAGGCCAAACAGTATTACAGAAAAAGATGAGGCATTTAGGTTTAGGGTAAGGATAGAGCCACAGAGGCTTCAGGTGAGCTAAAAGGTAGCTTAAAGGTGAAGAAGGGGGAATCTGTGATTGAGCGGTTCCCATATCAGAAACTGGAGATAAAAAATGTGAGGTTAAAGTGAGAATGTAAAGAGTTCTTGTCAGTAGGAGGAGAGAGGAGGTGGCCGATGCTGGATCAGGGAGGTTACCTGGCTTCCATGTGAGGAATCAGCCAGAGAAATCAGCCGGAAAAAAAGTGGCCCAGACCCACCCAGACCCACGGGAGGGTGTCCCCATACGTGAGGCACTGGATGGGTGAGTCTGACTCATTGGGGTAAGTCTGTAGTTGGCCAAGGCTGGGGTCAGGGAGGTACCAGGCCTTCGTGTGTGACCTTTAACCAGCTGGAAGAGTGGTCCAGGCCCATGGGAGGGCATCCTCAAACATGAGACACTGGATGGGTGAGTAGGACTTGCTGGGGTTAGGTATGGACCACCAGAATTTTGTGGCCCAGAGTGGGGAAAGGGAAGAAAAGTTAAAAAATCTGAGAGAGGGGCGATATACACAACTGCTTAAGAGGCCCAGAAATGGAGGGAGATGGAAAGAGGAGTTGGAGTGGGTTAAAGGAAAGAAAACTTTAAAAAAGTTCAGAAAGAGATTCTAGACAAATGCTCACCTCACCATTAAATGGATGAATTTTGGGTGGGGTTCAGAGGGGCCTCCTCCTTTACCTTCATCTCATCGCAACAAGAGTCCATCTAGTTGGGTCTGATGGGGTGTATTTCAGCCCCCCGAGGGGGCGTCTCCCCGTCCCAGGTTCTGGGCACTGAAATGAGAGGTCAGATACTGGGTGCCATCCTTGATTCTTCTTATTTCTCCCATGTAGCCAGTCCCTTGCTATTTCCTGTAAGTACTAATTCCTTAAGTATATTTCAAATTCTATCATTGTCCACTTTCTCCTATCCCTGTTCTTGCAATCTTAGTATAGACTAGCATCATCTGTCTCTGGGACCACTGTATTATTCATTAGTACTTAATAATAGGAATTATACAGAATAACACACTGGGCATACTTTTGTATTTAGGATTTCAAATGAATTGCAAGCAGTAATTTTTAAGTCTTAGGATTCTGAAGTTAATAAGAATGAGGTAAAACTCTAAAGGTAATAAACGTTATCACACACTAAAAACAGCAAATTCCTTTTCCCACGAAATAGAAGTGTATGATGCTTGGGTGTCAAGAGGTGGTAAGCCAGAATATTGAGAACATTTTATTTCAAGTTTTAGTTTCTAGTAATTCTTATCATTTTATTAAGTTACTCAGAATCCTATGGTGGGAGGAAGAAGAATCCAAATTAATTTTCATGTTACATAATGTAGCTAATGTTCTCTTGCCATTTATAAAATTGTACATTAGACAAGAGTGAGAATAAATCTTTCTCTTTTTCTCTCTATCCATATACGAATATATATTGATATATGTGTTAATATTCCAAATAGAGAATTTACTATATTGCTAAGTGAATAGGTTTCATCTCTCAAGAGTGAGAAAGTTGGCTGGGTGTGGTGGCTCATGCCTGTAATCTAGCACTCTGGAAGACTGCGGCGGGTGGATTGCTTGAGCTCAGAAGTTCCAAGACCAGTCTGAGCAGGAGTGAGACCCTGTCTCTGCTAAAAATAGAAAAAATAGGCTCGGCGCCTATAGCTCAACCGGCTAAGGCGCCAGCCACGTACACCTAAGGTGGCGGGTT